TACTGTATATTCCCATTAAAAATATTATTTGGGTCCAAATGTTCTATCTATTCCAAGTGGAATATATAGAAAATAACCTAATATAGGAAGGACTACCTAGGTAAATACTTAAATAGGTATGGATATTTTTTAAAAATACAATACTTATTTATACTGTTTTGGAATAAGAATAGGTAAGCAGGCTATGTGTAATTCAAGATTAAAAATGTTACTTGTTGCATGATTCAACATAATGCAATAAATGGCCAGTGATGTAATGTATCGAGATACATGTATCTAGATACTGGATCTAGATACATTTTATGTACCTAGATACGTATCGAGATACTTAAAAAAATCAGGATCTACTTTAGTATCTAGATCCTTTTGAAAGTATCTAGATCCTTAGATACAAGATACATTTTATTTTACCCAACCTGATTGCAACTCCACACCGTGTGGGCCACACGGAAAATGAACATCCAATGGATATACTCTATGGATATCCAGGATATATACCTACATTGGATATTCTTGATATCTCCCGTAAGAGATGAACAATACAAATAATAAAAAGATATTTTATTTCTTTTTCCCTTCAACCCACTTTGGAGTGCGAAGTGCATAAAGTAACTCTTAGGCACTAGTGAGTAAAGTTAAACAAAAGCGCTGTAGGTTACCTATAGTTGGCTTTGAAGGCATTTTTCTTCGTTCTGATAATTTTGAATTTGTACTACAAATTTTGTAAGCTTTCATATGGCGCGTAAATATAAAATTTATTTCCGTTTTTCATGGATATTTCGTCAATTTTATCAAAACAGTTTTATTTTATAGTTAACAAGCTTGTTTATAAGGTCCAAAAAAAATTTTTTTGTCATTTAATTTTTAAGTTTTTTTAACATAGTATCTGGAAGTAACTTAGATACTTTTTGAATGTATCTGTACCCAGATACTTTTGGGAAAATGTATCTGTATCTGTACCCAGATACATCTACCAGAGAGTATCTGTATCGGTACCTAGATACTGAAAAAAATGTATCGGTTACATCACTGTAAATGGCAACAATGCTTACCCTTTCTCGAGCAATGCTTCATCATCATCCAACTCCTCTTTGATTTCCTGTTTTATTGTTATTTCAGACATTGAAGGCATTTCTTCGTCAGCAAAGATACTTGGCTTTTCGTAATTCACCACAATATCACCTATGAAATCGTCAACTAGTTCTTCAGGTTCTTTTTTAACAATTGTTTGCTCCATTGTGCATGGAAACCTGACTACTTATATTTAATGATCAGAGAATAGTTGTTTTGACTCTAAAATACTTAGGCAAGCTTTAAAAACAATATAAAACAGACCTAGCTTTGCCAACAGTAAAAGAAACGACCAAACCAAAGAACGCTAATTAACGGTCTAAGTTTGAATTTTCTCAACACAAAATATTCTAAAAAATAACCATAGTTTATTTACGATTTTTACTGGGATCGACTATTTTTACATTCAAAATAAAATTCCCTAAAAACTTTAGCCTAAAATATCCCTGAAAATATCACCAGACGGCATTCCTTAGAGTAGGGAAGAGAATAGAGTCTTAATCAGATATCCACGCGTCCATGGAGCCTACACAAGCAGTGGCGTAGCGACAAATTTCGGTCCCCCCCGCGAAAATCCTTACTGGGTCCCCTGATTTCAGGTATTTTTTACATGGTTTTATATTGTAAATAAAAAATAATACATCCGGTGACATGATTTTTAAAATTATTTATAAACGAAAAGTAACAAAAAAATAATTTAAAAAAAAATAAGGTTCTCCACTGTACCTATAGGTATAGGTACTTTTAAATTATAAGAAAATAATAACATATTTTTTTAACATAAAAAAATAACCTTAAACTATAATAATTTTATCAGGCATCCTTGAATAATATTATGTACCTACTCTATTTATTTCTGTGATTTATTGTGTTAGAAATACAGTGCCTATTTAGGCACTATTTAGACACAATAAATCTCAGAAATAAATAGAGTTCACAATATTATTCAATTTTTAGTATAAGTAAGATGAAAATAAGTATTTTAATGTTTTGGGGCAAGTATCGGCCGGGCCCCCTACGAGGTTAGGGCCCCCCGCTTGGCGGGCGTTCGCGGTACTGTCGCTACGCCACTGTACACAAGGAGTCCGAACTGCATGTAAACAAGAATCTTCCTAAAGAAAGTAGGCGCTGGTGTCCCGTTTATTCTGAAACTAATAACTAATTTGTACCGAAACGCTACCAAAAGAGCAGACGTCTGGACACATCAACAATCAGCGCCGCAGGTGGTGAAAAAAAAAAGACTTAATTTATGCAATTTAGAGGGCAGGTTTTGTCAATTTTCCCTATTAAGTTCGGGCTCCTTGTGTAGGCTCCATGCACGCGTCATTGAGCGAGGCCTACATGGAGCCTACACAAGGAGCCCGAACTTAATAGGGAAAATTGACAAAACCTGTCCACTAAATTGCACAATTTAAGTCTTTTTTTTTCACCACCAGCGGCGCTGTTTGTCAATGCGTCCGTATGACGTGAAAATAGTATCAAAAATACATGTGAAGCATGCCCTGTGCACTCGCCTTAAACAAACAAAATCCACATTTTTGTCTAGTCGACTTTGGTTTTAGTTTACACTCGAGTTGCATGTGGCAGGAGCGGCGGTCAATCTTGACGGTTGCTTGGTAACGAAATCAACAAACTTCAGTTTGATAAATTTTGTAAAGTTTTGTAAATTCATATTGTGTTTATTTGGTTTGTTCTGTACGCTTAAAAACTTTTATAATTGCGATTTATCGTTATCTGTGTACTCTATTTTTTATATATTGCTACATTATTTGAACATTAACATGGTGTTGTGCTGTGCTGTGGGCTGCTCTAACAGTCAAGTTATGATGCATACTTTTCACAATGATAACAATTGTTATAATTGAATAATACAATACAACCTTAAGGTTGTATTGTATTATTCAATTATAACTATTTTATTAAAACAAGGTACTTACACAAATGTGGTACATAATATTATTACTTTATACTGATTTGTGTTCTTTAATTAATAAAATTCACTTGAATACATTATTATATTGTTAATTAGTTTAGTTTAGTAAATACCTTGAATAATTTAAAATATAATACATTTATTTTTGCTTTTCAAATAAACAATTTAAATAAACTATCAGGCCTTTTATTTTCTACTATTTTGACTGTCAAAATTTGACAGGATAACCTAAATTAAAACCATAACCTAAAACCAATAAATGTCAGGCGGGTACACTAGCGGTATAGCGGGCCGAGTGTGCGTAACAAGGAGCGTCAAATATGTGACAGTGGCGTATCTATATGATTTATTATCTATGATGTGAAGTAAGCAAGTAATTTTGACAATTGATTTGCAATAATGTTTTGACGTACGAATCGTTTTGTTATTTATGGCTGTACCTGGTAGGTAGATTCTAATAAATAGGTTTTGGTTGTGAAATATAAGTGATTCTTTATAATCTGTGAAGTGATTTTACGACTCTGGAGAAGCAAAATAAATGGGTTTTTGTTGTGATTCTTTATAATCTGTGAAGTGATTTTACGACTCTGGAGAGGCAAAATTAGATTTCCAGGTTAAAAATACACCGCTATTTAATAATTTAAATTTAATTTAAATAAAAATGTATGTATAAAATGAGTAAACAGCATATTTAATAATTTCCACCTTTATTTGTTTATATTAAACTTTTATTTAAGCCATCTACCTATAAAACTAAAAATAAATACCATATGGATTTAATATTCTGTTACTTTTACACGATTTAGCATCACATTACATTCTTTTATAGAAAAAAACACGTATTTATAAAAAACTGTACTATACTCTACATCAGAAAGTCCAACATGAATTCCAATGTTAAATTTGATATAAATTTATTGTAAATTAAGACCTTTATACACAAAACCGGGTACATGTGTACATTGTTTTCAAAAAGCGATAAACTGACAGTTGCATAACCTCAATTATTTCCACAATAATAAGTGGTATGTAGTGGCGCCATCTCTGGTTATACCACTCTACTGTTTTGGACCGGTAGTACACCAGCGCCCTCTTATCTTAGGAAGATTCTTGTTTACATGAAGTTCGGGCTCCTTGTATAGGCTCCATGGAGGCCTATAAGAAGATTATATTATATAATCTTCTTAGAGGCCTACTTACTCGTAAATTCCCTAAATTTAGGTAAAAAATTGTTATGTTGGCAACACTAAAATGGAACGCAGGTGTACTAATGTACTATCGTACGTAAAAATACGATACATTTGAAATTATTTCAGCATACTTTAACATAAATTGTCTTTAAAATATTCCTATTTTCAAAATAGGAATATTTTAAAGACTATTATAAATACTAATGGCAAGACAATAATATTATGTTCCCATGAATGGTTTACCTTTTTATGAAAATCCAACATTCCACGAAGGTGATGATAACGGTGGAGTCGAATATACTGACGATGATGAAAATAAATATAAATAATACCAAAAAATACATGTAATAAATCAACTAAAAAATGTTTCTAGAATGATTTATTTTTTTATAAAAATTGTAATACTTAAATAAATTGAAAAATTTTTCTAGTTTTTTTATTTTTGAAACTAAGTATAAATTATAATTTTGCATTGCTGGGGCAAGAAGGAGGTAGCTCCTGTAAACAAATCAGAATTATGTGCTTTGTTTTTAATTTTTTTACAAGATTTTTGGTGTTTATTTCTCTTAAAGCAAGTACTTTTATTAGGTAAAACTAAAAATTGCATACCTATCCATTGAAACAAAAATTCAGAACGTTTTTTCGTTTTTCTCAATGTATATTTTTGGAGCTGCATCCTTCTTGATCAAGGTCGTCAATTATATTTTACTGTTTTTAATTAAATTTGTTTTTTTTGCAAAAAGAAACCAAAACGCCAAAACATTGCTTGATTGGATTAGTAAAACAAAGTTTGACACAAAACATATATTTTTTTTTAAACATTGAAAAAGAACCTGTAAAAAAACAACAAAAACCGGATGTTTTTTTTCACGTTACATGTCTAATTATTGGTGCATTACCACCACTGCATAAATATAATTAATGATAATTATAATTTAAATGTTTCTTTAAATCACATCCTAATGTAGTTTTAAAATTACAAGTTTGGCAACAATGTATTTTGGAAGTAATAATAATTCTATTGGATTCGTTTAACAAATCGGAATGCTTTCTTAAAATATGGTTGTCCAAATTAACTTTTTTATGACAACAATATTTGCAAAATGGACATTGACATTCTTTTATTTCGTTATGAATTTTTATATGATCATGTAAATTCCTTTTATGAATAGTTTTATAGAGACAAATGTGACATTTATACCATTTAACATTTTCCAATTTTAAACAAACTTTAATATGATTATCATAAGTTGTTTTATAAACAGTTGAATATGTACATTTAGTGCACTCATGGATTTTACTTGACATTTTAATTTTTTCTTTTTCTAACTTATGTTTGCTCAAAACGTGCGCATGTAAATTCCGTAACTCAGCAGTCAAGAACTGACAGAAATTACATTTTAATCTATTTTTTATATTGTGTTGTTTTATATGCCTATTTAAACTACTTTTATATACTGTTTTGTAGTCACATTTTCCACATTTAAATCGTTCCTGTTTGCCTTTTAAATGAATATACTTTTTATGCCGGCATAAACATGGTTTTGATTTATATATCTTAGGGCAAAAGTCACATTTAAAAAACTTCCCTTTGCCACTCATATCTTCAAAATCAACCCCGTGATATTCCACCTCAATTTTCGTCTCAAACATGGCTTCATCCTCATCTTTTTCTTTATTGTGTGAGAAATATTTATCATCTTCTTGAGAAAAGTCACTGTCCCTTTCTTCTTCCTTAATATTGCAAAAGAAAGGTTCAATTTCATCTCCATGATCAGAATTGTCTTCATCACTTTCTTTGATTTCAGATCTAAAAGTATGGATAAAGATAAACAACAATCATATAATTAAACTGACAAGTATAAAATATTACATGCTGATTATTACATGCTGATTTTTATTGAAGACCAACAAAAAAACTTTCTAAAAACCATAAAAAAAAATCAAAAATATTTTACCCAGTAAAATCATGCATTGCCAAAAAATATTTATAATATATGAAAAACTTATATTATAACTGACAAACAAAAAAAAATCGGTCAATTTGTGTATTTTGCAATGTGGGGCCTTTATTTTAGATAATATTGAGAATTTATAGAAAATAAATGAAAAAAGGCACACATATCCATAATAAAAAGTTTTCAATGTGGGTAAATTCACCACTCCTTTAAATTGGGTAATGCAATAATTTTTAGAAGATAATTTATTTACAAGATCTCGAATATGCAGCTCTCAAGAAAGATTTACACATGATCTCACACCACAGAAAATTAAAGAATGAAAGGCATGCATCATACAGCAAAAAAACTGGGTAACCACAATCCAGTTTGGGTTACTAAACGTGAATTGAAATTACAGTATTTTTTAAAAATGTTACTTGCATTGCAACATGTCAACTGTCAAAAACAACTGTTGCTATGGTGATAATGCAATAAATGGCAACAATGCTTACCCTTTCTCGAGCAATGCTTCATCATCATCCAATTCCTCTTTGATTTCGTGTTTTATTGCTATTCCAAAGATTGAAGGCATTTCTTGGTTAGTACAGGTACTTGGCTTATCGTAATTCATCAAAATATCACCTTTTTTAACGATTGTTTGCTCCATTGTGCATGGAAACCTGAGTACTTATGTTTAATGATCAGTGAATAGTTGTTTTGACTCTAAAATACTTTGGCAAGATGTAAAAAAACAATGGAACCATTAAACAATAAATTAAATGTAAGTATATACAATATAAATTTCATTTACCTAACTCGAAAAATAGTCTGAAGAGCCACAGAACGCTAATTAACCGTCAAAGTTTGTATTTTATCAACACAAAAATAACCTATAAGCATTTATACTATATTTTGACATTTAAAAGAAAATTCTCTAAAAATTTAATATAAAATATCCCTGGAAATATCACCAGACGGCATACCTTAGAGTAGGGAAGACAATGGAGGCGTAATCAGGTATGTACTTGTCATATAAATTGGTTTAGAGACACTACCTATATTAGGACTGCTTTTCTAGTGTTCTTACTTACCTTGGCACGTTAAGTTTAAAACCATTAAACGGAAAATCCGCTAATTGCAGAAGGTTGGACTGTTTTAATTATTTTTAAAAATTAGTCAGACTTTTTTAAATTACTTTACTTTCTCTGAATAAAAAAAACTTGATAAAAATTTAATTAAAAATATTTCTTTTATTTCGTTAAAATATACAGGTTATTTAAAAATATTTTTTTTTGTTATTTAAGTAATTAAAAATTTTTGGTCATTTAACTTTGTTTCATTGTTAATAAACCATTTTTATTTGATCAATTTTTTTAATTTTTAAATTTGGCTTAATAATAACAAAGATATTGCCCTTTCTACTGCTTAATTAACTTCAACACTTCAATTTTGAATTGTGTCTTTTGTTGTAAAATAATAATTTACTAAAAAAATGATCTCTATCAATTTAACCTACAACCTTATAGTCCAAGGCCAAAATAGGAATTATAAAACATTGTTGTTTAAAAAAAGTTTTTTTTTCGTATATTGTCAAAACAAACATATTTCTTTTTTTGTTGGCTTGGTTTAAAGTTTGATTAAACAGTGGAATCTGGAGGAAAAAATAAATAAATTGTTTAGGAAATTTAGTCTTAAATTAATATTTTTAAATATGTATATTAAAATTTATAATTTTGGCAACAATTATTTTGTTTTAATCTTTAAATATTTTTAAAATATTTAAAGATTAATTAATATTTTAAAGCTTTTATTACAATCTGGACCATTCAAATACAATAATAGAAATTAACACAATTGCTTGATTACAAAGACTATAACTTTATAAATTTTGATTCCGCATATGCCTCTTCTAAGGGTTTATCGTTGTATTTGTAGTACCTACCTACATATCTTGACATTTTAAATTATATTTTACTGCTAAATTAAATTTGTTTTTGTGCTTGTTGGATTAATTAAAGAAAGTTTGATAGAAAACTATTTTATTTAAAAAAAAACGTGAAAAGGAAACTGAAAAAAACAAAAAAACGGATCTTGTTAAATCTCTAATTAAATGTAGGTGAATTATAAATATAATTAATGATAACGATTTAAATGTTTCTTTAAATCACTGGCTATTGTAGTTTTATAATTACAAGGTTGGCAACAATGTATTTTGGATGTAATAATAATTCTATTGGATTCGTTCAACAAATCTTCATGTTTTCTTAAAATATGGTTGTCTAATTCAAATTTTTTATGAAAACAATATTTACAAAATAAACATTTTAATTCTTTAATTTTGTTATGATATTTTATATGACTTTTTAAATTCTTTTTATGAATACTTCGATAGTGGCAAATGTGACATTTATACCTTCCAACATTTTTAATTTTCAAACAAACTTTGATATGATTTGTATAAGCTAATTTATAAACAGTTGAATATAAACACTTAGGGCACTCATGGATTTTATTTATAATTTTAATTTTTTCTCTTTCTTCATTTTTCAACGTATGGTTACTTAAAAGGTGTTCATTTAAACTCCGCCATTGAGCAGCCATAAATTGACAGATATGGCATTTTAATTCATTTTTGTTTTCGTGAATTTTTAAGTGCCTATTTAAACAACCTTTTCTTACAGTTACATAATTACATTTGTTACATTTAAATTGTTCTTGTTTGTCTTTTAAATGAAAATACTTTTTATGCGCCAATAAATCCTTCTTTGTTTGATATTTCTTAGGACACAGGTCACATTTAAACAGCTTTTCTTTGCCACTCTTATCATCATATTGAACCCCATCATATTCCACCTCGATTTTCGTCTCAAGCATGGCTTCATCCTCATCTTTTTCTTCATTGTCTGACAAATTTTTGTCTTCTTCAGAAAAGTCACTGTACCTTCCTTCTTCCTTAATATTGCAAAAGAAAGGATCAATTTCATCTCCATGATCAGAATTGTCTTCATCACTTTCTTTGATTTCAGATCTAAAAGTATGGATGAAGATAAACAACAGCGTATCATACCAATAACTGATAAATGTTTTGTATAAAACGGTGTCTCGGAATTCCACCCAAAAATTTTAAGGGGTGATTCCACACCGCAGAATCTACAGCGCAAAATATGAAAAAAAGTTCCTAAGAACATGGGGTCAAAAATGCTTTATAAGATGGCACTCAACCACATAAAGCAGGGCAAAAAAATTTCAAAGCGATTTTTTTTAAAACGGTTGGTATTAGATCTTTTTAACAAAAGAAACTTTTGCATGCGTAGAATGTGCTTGCACAGGTATAATTGAGGTTAAGCTTATTATATGTCACATGACATTTATTTTGAACGCTCAAATAATGCTCTGTGCGCATGCCCGCGCCACATCATTTGAAATAAACTCACGAAATGATTTCTTTCTCACGCCATGAGCTCAGGTGATCGCAAATGAGCACAATGCATGAGAAATCACGGCGTGAGGTAAACTGGGAAAAATCTATACTCAGGGTTGCTGTGCGGGAAAAATATAAAATAATAAAAATACTATTTTTTATTGAAGACCAAACAAAATCACACATATTTTGCTAAAGTAGTAAAATCATAAACGGATGCATTGCCAAAAAACATTTATGACCAAAACTTAATATATTTCCTTGCTTTTTGTTATATTCAATTAAAAACAAAATGACAAGCAAAAAAATTGAGTCAGTTTGTAAATATATTTCAATGTGGGGCCTTTATTTTGGATTATTTTGAGAATTTATAGAAAATATATGAAAAAAGGCAGAATTATTTGAAATATTCCATAAGAGAAACAAAATTTTAATACAAAAATGCCTTTAATTTGACTTGGCTGTTCCAATAAAAACACAGTAGTATGATAAATCTGTTATATGAAGAGGTAAATTGGTTTAATTACTACAAAATTTGTATACAAAAGCAAATATATACTGTGTTTTACCCATTAAAAATATTATTATTTGGTCCAATGTCAAAATTAACAAGTGGAATATATAGAAAATAGCCTATGCAGGAGTTGTTAAGCAAACTAGGTGTGAATTTAGGATTAAAAATGTAAAGCCCACTGCCCATTGAAAACAATAACCTGAACGGTAAAGATGGGAGACTCAGCAAACACTATCAATCAACTTTACTGTTTAGATTCCTGTTACTGGGCTTTTGTGCAGCGGGCTTTTAAAGCAAATTAAATTAAATTAAAGTAAATTACTTGTTGCATGATTCAACATGTCAACTGTCAAACAACTGTTGCCATGGCGATAATGCAATAAATGCCAAAAATGCTTACCCTTTCTCAAACAATGCTTCATGATCATCCAACTCCTCCTTGATTTCTTGTTTTATTGTTGTCACAGAGATTGAAGGGATTTCTTGGTCAGTACAGAAACTTGGCTTATCGTAATTCATCAAAATATCACCTTTGAAATCGTCGAGTTCTTCAGGTTCTTTTTTAACGATTGTTTGCTCCATTGTGCCCGACTACCTGACTACTTATGTTTAATGATCAGAGAATAGTTGTTTTGATTCTGAAATACTTTAGCAAGCTGTAAAAACAATATATAACCTTAAAAAACGAATTAAACTTTATCTACCTACCCGAAAAATATTCCTAGCTTTGCCTACAGTGAATGAAACGCTAATTAACGCTCAGTTTGTATTTTCTCAACACAAAATATTGCATATGATTACTGACATTTAAAAAAATTCCCTAAAAATTTTAGCCTAAAATATCCCTACAAATATCACCAGACCTTAGAGTAGGGAAGATAATGGACGCGTTTCAGATATCACCGCGTCAGAAGAATTGGTATTGCGCACTATAGCGCGCATTTCCCGAGACACTGTATTTAAGGACTATTTTTCTAGTGTTTTCCCCTTAAAATTACTTACCTTGGTCCGTTAAGTTTAACACCAGTAAACAGGAAATACGCTAATTGCAGAAGGTTAGACTGTAATAATTATTAATTTACTGAATTAAAGCAAGAGTTAAAAAAGGTCATGATTTTAAAAAGTAAAAGTCAGGTAAATTATCTTCAGAAATAAAATACTTCAAAGTTTAATTGCTAATATTCCTTTTATTTCGTTAAAATATACAGCTTATTTAAAAAAAAATGCATTCGAAAATGAGTGAAAATGTATGAATTACCACCCTTAATTTATTGATTTAAAAATTGGTTACATTTACCTAATTATAATTAGACTTAAAATTAAATGACAACCACTGGAATTTCGTTTGAAAAACCTAAATTATATAAAGTAAATATGATAAACAACCATTGTTAAACCGATTGGTTAACAAACTTGATTCCCCTCCGTCATGAGCGTCAGTTGAAATTTTTAAAACAATTAAATCAAAACGGTCAATTTCCCGCCAATGTCTTACTTCCCCTCCTCAACCATCTGTGTCATCCAACCACTCGATCAAAAATGGACCAATAACATGATCTCCCAGTATACCTCACTAAACGTTTAATTTTTTAGGTCTTTGGGTGTTGGCGGCATAAACTTCGTGAGGATTCGTCCTCGACCAATACCGTTTGTGCATGGCATCGTGCCTACCATGTAGAGTAAACGACGACTCATCATTGAAAAGTTCCATGCGACGATATTGATCACAAGGAAACTGCTCATTGCCCCTCTTTAATTTATATGGGTGATACCTAAGCTTTCTCAATTTTTTTCCTACCATAGACTGTGAAAGATAGAACTGTTCGGCAACTTTTTTGGTTGACTTGGTCGGATCCTGTGTATTCGCGCTTTTCATTCACGGGACTCGCGGTTCCCTATTATGAGCACATTGATTAACATTGCCATATGTAACAAAATTATGCGCAACATTTTAAATTTTTTTGCTCTTGCTGGTAAGGGCCTATTTGAAAACGTATTGTGAAATAATCATTGATTTTGCCAATCTGACATCCCACTTATATGCCGCGTTATAAATTGATTTTTTTCTTCCATATTGTTGAACATTTTTATTTGAGAATATTTGAAATTTTACCACTAAAACACCAAGGCTTAGTATGAGTCTGAAGTGACAAGTGGTCTGCCCAGGGCACTCCAATTAAAAAATCCCCACGTCTCATTTTGCATCTCTATTACTAACGTCTTTGTTTACTAAAAAACCGTTGTTTTGCGAACATTTTAAATTATATTTAACTGTTCAATTAAATTTGTTCTTTTATATAAAAGGGGCCAAAACGAAAAATATATGCTTGATTGGATTGGTAAAAGAAAGTTTGAAAAAAACATAAAATATAAAAAAAATATTTGAAAAAAAAAGTAAATATCGGTGCATTACCAACATTTTATAAATATAATCAATGATTACGATTTAAATGTTTCTTTAAATGACTTGCATATGTAGTTTTATAATTACAAGTTTGGCAACAATGCATTTTGGAAGTAATAAGATTTCTATTGGATTCATTGAACAAATCTGGATGTTTTCTTAAAATATGGTTGTCCAAATCAAATTTTTTATTGGAACAATATTTGCAAAATACACATTTAAATTCTTTTATTTTGTTGTGAGTTTTTACATGACTATCTAAATGCCTTTTGTGAATAGTTTTATAGTGACAAATGTGACAATTATACCATTCAACATTTTCCAATTTTAAACAAACTTTAATATGATTATCATAAGCCGATTTATAAACAGTTGAATACGAACATTCAGGGCACTGGTGGATTTTCCCTAAAATTTTAATTTTTTCTTTTTCTTCATTTTCCAACTTATGTTTACTTAAAACGTGCGCATGTAAACTCCGTAACTCAGCAGTCAAGAACTGACAGAAATGACATTTTAATTTATTTTTTATATCGTGAATTTTTATATGCCTATTTAAACTACTTTTATATGCCGATTCGTAGTCACATTTACCGCATTTAAATCGTTCCTGTTTGCCTTTTAAATGAATATACTTTTTATGCCGGCATAAACATGTTTTTGATTTATACATCTTAGGGCAAAAGTCACATTTGAAAAACTTCCCTTTGCCACTTATATCTTCAAAATCAACCCCGTGATATTCCACCTCGATTTTTGTCTCAAGCATGGCTTCATCCTCATCTTTTTCTTCATTGTCTGACAAATTTTGATCTTCTTCTTCAAAAAAGTCACTACCCCTTCCCTCTTCCTTAACATTGCAAAAGAAAGGTTCAATTTTATCTCCATGATCAGAATTGTCTTCATCGCTTTCTATGATTTCAGATCTAAAAGTATGGATGAAGATAAACAACAATCATATAATTAAACTGATAAGTATAAAATATTATAGGCTGTTTTTTATTGAAGACCAACAAAAAAAACTTTCTAAAAACAATAAAAAAACAAAATCAAACATAGTTTAGTAAAATCATGCATTTAAAAAAACATTTATGACCCCATATTAATATATGAATAACTAATATTATAACTGACAACCAAAAAAAAAATCGGTCAATTTGTGTATTTTGCAATGTGGGGCCTTTATTTTAGATTATATTGAGAATTTATAGAAAATAAATGAAAAAAGGCACACACATCCATAATAAAAAGTTTTCAATGAGCGTAAATTAACCACTCCTTTTAATAGGGTAATGCAATAATTTTTAGAAGACAATTTATTTACAAGATCTTGAATATGCAGCTCTCAAGAAAGGTTTACACATGATCTCACACCACAGAAAATTAAAGAATGCAAAGCACGTATCATACAGCAAAAAAACTGGGTAACCATAATCCAGTTTGGGCTACCAAACAAGAATTTAAATTATAGTATTTTGGAATAGGACTTAGCAGGCTATGTGTGAATTCAAGATTTAAAATGATACTTGTTGCATGATTCAACATGTCAACTGTCAAAAACAACTGTTGGCATGGTGATAATGCAATAAATGGCAACAATGCTTACCCTTTCTCGAGCAATGCTTCATCTTCATCCAATTCCTCTTTGATTTCTTGTTTTATTGCTATCCCAGAGATTGAAGGCATTTCTTGGTCAGTACAGGTACTTGGATTATTGCAATTCATCAAAATATTATTTTTGAAATCGTCGACTAGTTCTTCAGGTTCTTCTTTAACAATTGTTTGCTCCATTGTGCATGGAAACCTGACTACTTATGTTTAATGTTAGAGAATAGTTGTTTTGACTCTAAAATACTTTGGCAAGATGTAAAAAACAATAGAACAATCGAACAACGAATTAAATGTATATATTAAGTTAAATTTTATTTACCTGCCCCGAAAAATAAGTTCGTATTTTCTGAACACAAAATATTCTAAAAAATATCTGTAAGCATTTGTACTATTTTGACATTTAAGAGAGAATTTAATCTAAAATATCCCTGGAAATATCACCAGACGGCATACTTTAGAGTAGGGAAGAGAATGGAGGCGTAATCAGATATCTACTTGTCAGAAAAATTGGTTTAGAGACACTACCTATATTAGGGCTATTTTTCTAGTGTTTTATCTGAATATTACTTACCTTGGCACGTTAAGTTTACCGCCAGTAAACGAAAAATCCGCTAATTGCAGATGATTAGACTGTTATAATTATTAATTTACGTTCTCTGAATAAAAAAACTTTATTTGCAAATTTTTCTTTTATTTCGTTAAAATATAGGTACAGGTTATTTAAAATATTTTTTTTGTTATTTAATTAAAATAATTTGGTCATTTAACTTTAAGTTTAATTTTTAATTAGGTATTATTTTTATTTACTTAAAAATGTATTCCCCCATTTATTGAATTGTTAATTTACCCAATTAAAAATTAGACTTAAATTAAATGACATATGGCTAACATTTCCATATGTAACAAAATTATGCACAACAGCCCCCCCACTCCAATTACAAAATCCCCACTTATCATTTTGCATTTCTATATATTGCTTTAGTATATAACGACATTTGCAATATCGGCTATATGTTCATAATACCTACATCATGAGCATACAGTTGAAATTTTTAAAACAATTAAATCAAAACCGTCAATGACCCTTCAAAGTCTTACTTCCCCTCCACAACCATCTGTGTCATCCCACCACTCGATTAAAAATGGACCAATAACATGGTCTCCCAGTATACCTCACCAAACGTTTAATTTTTTAGGTCTTTGGGTGTTGGCGGCATAAACTTCGTGAGGATTCGTCCTCGACCAATACCGTTTGTGCATTGAATCGTGCCTACCATGTAGAGTAAACGACGACTCATCGTTGGAAAAGTTCCATGCGACGGTATTGATCACCAGGAAACTGCTCATTACCTCTCTTTAATTTATATGGGTGATACCTAAGCTTCCTCAATTTTTTTCCTACCATAGACTGTGAAAGGTGGAACTGTTCGGCAACTTGTTTGGTTGACTTGGTCGGATCCTGTGTATTCGCGCTTTTCATTCACGGGACTCGCGGTTCCCTATTATGAGTGCATTGATTAACATTGCCATATGTAACAAAATTATGCGCAACATTTTAAATTTTTTTGCTTTTGCTGGTAAGGGCCTATTTGAAAACGTATTGTGAAATAATCATTGATTTTGCCAATCTGACATCCCACTTATACGCCGCGTTATAAATTAATTTTTTTGCTTCCATAGTGTTGAACATTTTTATTTAAGAATATTTGAAATTTTACCACTAAAACACCAAGGCTTAGTATGAGTCTGAAGTGACAAGTGGTCTGCCCAGGGCACTCCAATTAAAAAATCCCCACTTCTCATTTTGCATCTCTATTACCAAAGTCTTTGTTTACTAAAAAAACCGTTTTTTGCTAACAATTTAAATTATATATTACTGATTGGATGAATAAAAGTTTGAAAAAAAAGTGAAACAAAAACATAAAATTAAACAAACAAAACTTAAGGATTTTACAAGTTTTTGAGTACGCCCACCTATATCACCTAATTTTGGGCTGCTGATTTCAAAAATGCCACTCGTTTTGCTCCAGGACATCTAGGATTCGAAATAATTGCGTAATAAAATGCTCTGCCCAATTATCTCAAAATGTAAGTTTTTTGTAAATGTTTTGATTATTTATTAAATTATTTTGCCTTAAATCTATTTTGGATGTTTGGTATATTTTTGACTTTTTTGGTCAAAAATATACAGGGACTCCATACAAAGTCATCAGTAGATAAATGTCAAATATAAATTTTGTTTGTTCCATATATATATATATACTATAGTAGTATTTTATAAGGGATATTTAATAAAGCACTTTTCTGCAGAGAAGTGCTTTATTAAATACCAAAACTAAAATTATAATGTTTTTTTGGTAAAAAGTATCATTTTTCAAAATTTTTGTGTATTTTTTTGAATTTCTAATTAAATTAAAAAGGCAACAAATTAAATGGGTTTCGGTATTATTCGATATGTTTTTATTCACATCATGCCTAAAGTACCCAAAAATTAAATGTCGAATCTTATTTATTAAGTCTTATCAAAATTTAATATTGAATTGAAGTATAAAGGCGCCTTTATCTACTTTATCGTTCAGCACACTAAAGTGCATCTATTAATTATTGACATTTAAAATTTAAACTTTAAATTGTATTTTTACTTGAAAGTGATTTTAAGAACCAAAAATGAAAAAAGAGCAGGAAATGGAAGTGGCAGAGAAAGAGAAAGGAGACGAACATTTATGTCGTCGTTGTAAATTTGTTTTGTTTTTGTTGCGGTACCTTTACGCCCAAGAAAAACCAACGCAATATTTCATTACAAAATTTTATGAGATATACCTACTACTTTAATTTTGCAGGAATATTAAATGGACCTGATAAACGACGTTTAATGAAATAGATCAAGCATTCAAAGTTGACGAGCTTGTCGCATATGGCAGTGTTAAAGCTGTTATTGAAAATGTTCTTGGTTCATAGCGGGCCTAAAATTGGCGCCAATTCATTGAAAAAATGCTTTCCGTTTTGCAAAGAATTAGCGTTAATATGTCATTTAAAATAAATTTTCTTTTTTTTTTCATCCTGATAAATTTGCCGAACTGATGAACATGGAGAACGATTTCACCAAGTAACTGCAAATCTAGAGCATTGGTAGATATCTATGGGTATAGCGGAAATAAGTTTAAGAGGATTAAGCACAATAAGACTATAATTCAATTCGATATTTGATACCATTTAATAAATTTAAGGTAGAAAAAAGCAAAATTATGCAATGCATTAAATGTTGTGGGCTTAATTTGGATAAAAAATACCAAAACTTGTTTACTTTGTTGCCCTTTCAATACAATAATTAAAATAAACAACAATAGTTATTTATGTCATTAGGTTAAGAAGTAAGGCTTTTTGTGCTAAGCTCAAGGTTTGAAGGCAGCCGCGTAGCGGAGGCCTACAATTGAGCGAAGCACAAAAAGGCACTTCTTGGCCGAATGGCATACAACATTTTATCTTCAAAGCACTTTATATAGGTCAATTTAATTCAACATCAAAGCGGCCTAACCTCACTTTTTTAGAATCTCATTTATTTATTAGCTAAAGGGGCATTCCACGTTACTCGGTAATTTTTGTCCCGCCCGTCACAATTAAAAGTTGTGAGTAAAAACTACAAGTTATAAAATTAATATTTTATAATATTATTTTTATTGTGCTTATAACTTATTAAAAGCATAATAAAACAATATTTTTAAATAAATTTTATAACGTGTAGTTTTTACTCACAATTTTTAATTGTGACGGGCGGGACAAAAATCCCCGAGTAACGTGGAATGACCCTAAAGATTACATTAAATGTTCAATAATTATAATTATAATAATTATTATTGCTTTTAGAAGCAGTAATAGTTTGACAATACCTAGCAACATGATTTAAGTAGAAATGGATTTTTGCTATTACATTGAATTCAATTAATTGTTTAATAAATAGGTAGGTATCTAATTTCAATTTGTTTGGATTTTTATTTAAAAAATAGGTAGTTTGGAATGTTTAAGCTGTGTTTAACATTTAATTTCACTGAAAACTTAAAGCAAATTAAAACTTAAAGATAATTTAAATCGTAGAAAAAGAATAGTGCGTTTTCTTGGTTGCCTAACCTCACTTTTTGTTTTATTATTCATATTTAATTTTACAATAATTTAATGAAAAATATTAAACATTAACAGTAAAACAAACAAATTAGTGCTTATTATAAATAAATTAAACCAGTTTAGTACGGTAATACCGAGAAAAAATCGAACTAATTACTTGCCTCATAAAATTTTGTATCGGCCTAGGCCATAACAAGGTATTTCTTTATTGAATGTTGACAACAATAAAGTTTAAATTATAGACCGCGTGGAGATCGTTAAATAATGGTTGGTTTTTACATAAAATACATTTTAGTTTTAGTATTTTGAGGTGATTGAGCAGAGCATTTTATTACGAAATTATTTTAAATCCTAGACGTCCTAGAAAAAAACTAATGACATTTTTGAAATCAGCGGCCCAAAATTAGTTAAGCTGAAGTACTTAATGTTAGAAAAAAAAAGTTTGTAAAACTATCATAGTGTTATTAATTTAATGATTATGAATCAAATGAATTTTTAAATTGACTGAATGTGTAGTTTTATAGTTGCATTGTTGGCAATGGTGAATTTTAGATGTAATGATATTTTGATTGGACTCGTTCAACATACCCGAGTGTTTACTTAAAATGTGGTTGTCTAAATCTTGCTTTTTATTACTTTCGTATGGACAAAACATACATTTTAATTCTTTATTTTGATTATGACTTTTTATGTGGAAATTTAAATTACCTTTTTGAATAGTTTTGTAGGGGCACTGGTGACATTTAAACCAGTTTATATTTTTCAATTTCAGACATACCTTGACGTGGTTATCATAATCATTTTTTCTCACAGTCGAGTACGAACACTTGGCGCACTGATGTATTTTGCTTGTTATTTTTATTTCGTTTTCCCCTTTATTTTCCAGTTTGTGTTTGCTTAGAATGTGCGCGTTTAAGGTCTTCAAAGCGGCAGTCAAGTACGGGCAAAATTTGCATTTTAAATACCTACTTCTGTCGTGAATTTTTAAATGAACTTTTAGGTTACCTTCCCTTAAACTTTGATATTCGCATTTTTCACATTTAAATTGTTCTTGCTTTTCTTTATTGTGAATGAACTTTTTGTGATTAAGTAAACCCTTTTTTGTTTGAAATTTCTTTTCACAAATATAGCACTTAAACATCTTCTCTTTGTCAACTACAACTACAGGTGTTAAACACTTTAAGCTGTGACTTTCTAACAATTCTTTCTTGAAGAAAATAACGGAACATTGTTTGCATTCGTAGGCACATCTGGGGTCCGAATTTTTTCCAATTTCTGTAAAACAAGTGTTTTATTAGGTTGACTAACATTATATCTGTGGTATAATAGGCTAAAGAATTGTCAACAATAAATTTATAGTATATTATGTATCAAGTTGGATAAACGCCGTTTGTTTTAGTTTTATCGTAACATAAATTTGCCCATTTTAGTTGGGTTTTTTGTTCAATGGGGCGGGGGGGGGCCAATGGGGCGGGGTCGGTTGGGTTGTGTTGTTGAGTTTGGGATGGTTTGAGTTTATGACGTAACTAACGTGCCTTTAACATTTCAAATCGCGGCACGTTAACGTGCCTCTAGTCAGTGTTGCCAGATATTTTAAAGTCGAGGCGTCGCCAATTTTCGAGTGAGATATCGCCCAAAAGCGCCAACAAAATTGCAATCAGCGCCAACGTTAGATTGGTAAAATTAAAATTAAATTCTTGTAACGGTTAATTCGCAAAATGCATTAAAAATACTTAAACACACCAGTTTAATATTTTTATAGATAAAGACATTTTTCTTGATAGTAATGTTTAATATTATTAAAAATAAATAAAAAAATATATATTCTTTATTTTTTAAAATAAATAAATTTAAATATGGCCTACTGGCATTCAAAATAATAAGGAATAGAAACTGTTCCTATTCATTATTATTGTGAATGCTGGTAGGCTATATTTATTACTAATATTATTACTAGCTGTTAAGCCGGCTGCACAACATCCCAGTAACGGAAAGGGGAAAAAAGTTAGCTGTCCAATCAGAACTCAAATTTCAATTTCAATTTCTTTTACTTGAATTCAAATTTTGACCGCACTCACCTCTAATTATAAAATTACATTTTTTTACACATATACACTTGATATACTTACGCAGTAAGTTTATGTGTTTACACTACTTTAATACCATCTATGATTATTATTTGTGGTGATCACTGTTAATATCTATAAGTATTAAATACAGGCAGCTGCAATCTGAAGATATACTTTAAGTAAAGTTTAATTCGAAGAATTTCCAAATGAGCAATTTATTTTTTTATAAATCGCCCAAATTGCGGTTTGCGCTTTTTATAAAAAACAAGGCGCAAATTATTTCTTAAAACCGTCCAATTGGCGCTAAAGCGCCCAATCTGGCAGCACTGCCTCTAGTCACAGCGGATTTAAATACTTTGAAGAATATTGAACATAACCTAGAAACCAATTATACAGGTTGTTCCATAGGTAATAATAATAATATATATTTTTTAAATGTTGGCCATAAATTTAGCAATTAGCAATTTTTAGCAAAATTTGTGATGTAGAGAATTTTTGATATGTCACTGTCACTGTCACTAAAAAGCCTACTTGATTAATATTGTAACTGTAGGTAAGAAAAAATAAGTTTTATTTTGAGCGCAAAATATCAAAAATTATCACCTGATTATTTTGATTTGATTTTGATAATTTTTGCTTAAAAAACTAAAACTTTATAGATGTTGCTACAATTCAGAGTTTTATAGATATTTTTACTTGATAATTTTGGTTTCTAACACGTGCAAATACATTACATTTATATTTTAATTAACCTTGGCTGAAGGACCTAGGTCAATGGCCTTTTGATTGTTGTTATTTTTATAATTATGATAATCAATAAATAACTATTATTTTACTTGATATTTTGCACTCAAAATAAAACTTATTTTTGCCTTGGGCATATTTTAAACAAAAAAATAAATATTAAAATTTGCCATATAAAGAAATCCCACATCCCAAATTTTGCCAAAAATGACTAATAATTTATGGTAAAAATTAAAAAAAATAGAATCAACTTTACCAAAACTGTAACTTTGTTGCCATTCACTTTCGGACTAAGAAAATTGTACTTAATCTTTATTTTTGAGACACCCTGTATAAGACCCTGTTAAATGGATTAATTCGTAATTCTTGCACATCTGTTATAACTTCGCAAAACTCAAAAATTGTTTGAGAATTTATAAAAAATTTAATAACAACTCCTATAGTACCTAGTTATAACCCCATTATATTTGTTCAATGAACAAAATTAATTTTTTCCCAAACTATTCCATATTTGATTAAAAATATTTTTAACAATAAATCAGAAGTGCAGATGCAACTTTTTGACAGGGACTGTAGGAAAGTTTAAATAAAAAAAAAACACTTACCTTTTTCTTCTTTATTTGCAACTTCACTGTCAGTCCTACAAAAACATTTAATTTTACATTTACATTTGTAGTTAGATGAATTTTTCATAAAATTCTATATACCTATTGTTTATGTTTAAAAAAGGTAGTAACTTTCAATTTTCAATATGCAAATAATAAGTATAAATTAAAATTTTGAGCAGGGGTTTTGAGTAATTTTTAACAAAGCATAACTCACCCTGATTCATCATATTGAACCCCATGATATTCCACCTCCATTTTCGTCTCAAACATGGCTTCATCCTCATCTTTTTCTTCATTGTGTGCCGAATTTTTATCATCTTCTTCAGAAAAGTCACTGTCCCTTTCTTCTTCCTTAATATTGCCCGGCAAATCTTCACTTTTATCTCCATGGTCAAAATTGTCACTTTCTTGATCACTATCATTGACTTTAAATCCAAAATTATGGGCAGGTATGTTTAAATATCTTTGTGGCAAATTAATTATGTATCTGCTAAAAAATAGCATAAGATATTTTTGTAGATTTTATTTATATAATCCTTTTAATTTTAACAGAGTTTTTGTATTTTAGACTTTGAAGGAAACAATAAAATCATAAGTGGGAATAAGCTTGCCTACATATTTTTTAGAAAAAGGCATATAAACATAATTTTACCCAGTGGCAATTGTTTTTTAGAACAATACTGGAGATAAGAAATGTTATTTTTTCAAAAGCCCTTTATTGTGCATTCTGTTTTGGGATAGGAACACCTATTCTGCCCTACTAGGGAGAAAGGCAGTAACTGCAAAAAAATGCAAAATGCGTTTTCTTGTGCTATGGTAAAGCTATGGACATTTTGTAACCGAATTCAACACAGAAATGGAGTCAAATATCTCATAAGTTAAAAAAAATCAATTAAATACCTACTGCTTTTTATAAAAATGTAGTTTATGCTAATTTTCCACAAATTTATTGTTTAGCAGTTACTGCCTTTCTCCATAGTAGGGCAGTATTGTCATGGTGATAATGCAATAAATATCAACAATGCTTACCCTTTGTCAATCAACACTTCATCTTTGGCTTCAAATTTTAGTTTGGCTCCATCAAAATTGTCTTCATCTGATTCTTCTTTCACCCCCAATTCAATGTGGACCCTGGAGTTGTCACTATAATTAAATTCTTCTTTGATTTCTTGTTTTATAGCTACCCCAGAGGTTGAAGGCATATCTTGGTTACTTGTTTTATCGTAATTGTTGACTAGTTCTTCAGGTTCATTTTTAACGACTATTTGCTCCATGGTGTATGGAAACTACTATAATTAGTAATTTAATGATCACAAAATGGTTGCATTAAGCCTAAAATACTTTGCAAGGTTGTAAAAAAAACATAAAACCTTTATAAACCCTAAATAAATAAAAAGTATATTTACTTACCTTTGCAGTGTTTTTACATGTGGAAGCTTCGCCACAAACCGTTAACCAACGGTATTTTGTCGTGAGCACAAAATATTGCATAATATGAAAAATTATTCCAAATCCAATATTCGAAGAAATACGTGTTAAAGCATTGAAGGCAAATTTTGCAATCGAATAGTATTTTGATATTTGACAGAAAATAGTAATTACAAATAAAGCAGTGCTGCCAACAAAATTATTAAACAAAACATACTCGCGTCTAAAGCCTGATTTATAGATTGCCTTCCTTTCTTCCTCCCGTAGAAGATTAACAATACAAAAACCGTTCTCGGGAGAAAGAAAGGAATCTATAAATCAGGCTTAAATCCCAACCAACCCTGATCCCAACACTATTGCCATTGAGTAAAAACTTCTTTACTCAATGCTATTGCAACATTTGAATAGAAAACCTTTTTTTTATTCAAAGATTGCAACAGCACTGCGCTTGTCTGTTCTTGTTTAAACATAATATTGTTTAAAATAAAAAATATGACTTATTGGTATTTCTTTAAAAAAAGATTACCTCATAATATAAATAATAAAATGAATTTAGACAAAATATGTTAGTTAGGAGATCCTAAATAAGCAATAATAATTTAAAATTTTATATTTTTGGGTTATTTAAGTCGTTTTTTTCGCGTAAATACTATGAAATACTACGGTTAAATAAGTCATGACGTCACAGTTAATTCATATAACCATGGTTAGGTTTCTAACATTTGACATTTGTTTACTTGTTCATAACCTATAATTTTTAAAATGTGTTTTTACCTATTTATATTTAATTTCTATGCTTTTACAGGTGTAAATAAATTTCTTTGCCTCTTCTTTTACCTTGTATATTCTTTTTCTATGAACCCTAGTTCTTATACGTACCTACCTTTTCTATACCTCTTTTTATATATAAACAGTTCTTCACTGTTGTTTACCATAATTAAAATCCAACAGTGTTTAACGTTTATACGAAAATTATTACTTCTTGTGAAACTCAAAATTTAGAATGGAACCCCAAAGAAAAAGACGAAGGTTGGCGGTATGTTTAGGAGAAGATATGTTTAGCACACAACATTATTCCTACATAAACATATTAAATATATATATTAAAAAGAGAAAGACTATTAACCACGTTGAATAACTATATATAATTATAGCTCAGCGATATAGTTTTATGGTCTGGTATTTGTGACGTCATAGTTAGGATTTTTGAACGCACTCTAAACGCAAAAATGCCTTAACTATTAACCAAGGTTAAGTTAAATGACCATAGTATTTCATGGTATTTACGCGAAAAAACGACTTTGGGTATTTTGGTTTAGAATAAATAAACTTTTTGGAAAATAAAGCAGTGCTGCCAACAAAACTATCAAACAACATATTTGAGTATAACCTAACTTTTGAGCTACACTAAAAATGTTGTTTAAATCGTAAAAACCTTATTTTCCGTGGTAAAAACTCGCGAATATCGGTGTTTGGTGTAAATATTCGTTTTAATAGTGCCAAAGGTGTAATTTATCGTTTTAATTCTGTGCGGTACCTATGTGTTTGGTTACGAACATTGAATTTGGCTTTTTAGTTCAGTATTTTTTGTGTTAACTTTTATTGTTTTGTGTGAAAAAGGATTTTGATATTTTGAAGAAATTTGGAGGCCTCGAATGCCCATACAACCATGGTTGCACTGCCCATTGTGATATGAATTTTATGAAATTAATTTAAAATTAACTACTTTAAAATTAAATTAAATTTATTCAGTGATTAGATTCACAGTTTTCGAAAATTATTAATACTAACGTTTTTTTTGTTCATTTTGTTTACTCATTTCAACTTAATTAAATGTATTTTTATTAGTTTTCAATTTAAATTTGAATGCTTTTTGTTTGTTTTTGATATACAGAGTCTTTACAAAAACCTACCAAATATTTCTTAAACCAAAATAAAGCACAACATTTGTGGTAACTACAATATTAAGTAGGTAGGTAATACAGTAGGGCCATTCCACGCTTAACAGATAGGACAGTTGCCGTGTTTTTATTTACAAAATAATATTGTTCTATTATATTACCAATGTCAAATTTTTATAAATAGTTCTAAACTAAAGCTGTTTAACAAGGTTTTTATTTGGCAAAATTAGGTATCGTGATTGACTGTTTGACTTTGTAATAGTCCCGTCCGTTACGCTTTAAATTATTAGTTTTTAAGGAATTAAACAGTCAACCACGATACCTAATTTTGCCAAATAAAAACCTTGTTAAACAGCTTTAGTTTAGAACTATTTATAAAAAATTGACATTGGTAATATAATAGAACAATATTATTTTGTAAATAAAAACACGGCAACTGTCCTATCCGTTACGCGTGGAATGGCCCAGTAGGTACCACCTTTTTTCTTAGTATGACACTGGATATGTCCGCTTTTGATTTTACAGGACTTGATTGTAATTAATTACTTAGTACAAATTTGTTTTTATTATAAATTTAAAACAGCTTATAAGTAGGAAATGCAGATGTCAAGGCCTCAGGGTAAGTTTTTTTTATTTATTTTTTGACAACTACCTACTTAAGTATTAAGTTCTTAAGAATTAAATTTTTTTTTACTATTTTACTTATTGTGGAGGATTTTTCTTATTAAATTTTAATAAACAATTTTAATGTTTATCAAAACAATGTATTTATATATTTGTTAGGTATGAATAATATGGTAGGTGCTTATATTCATTTATTATAATTTTAAATTAAACAAAAAAATCCCCACAGAAAAATTTTAGTCTTATTTTAAATTGGGTAACTAAAATGCAATTCAAAAGTTTTGTAATTAAGTAGTACCATCTACTAAAAAATTTATAACTGGATCTATTTTTTATGTTTTATTAAATAATATGTTAAAAGGATACATTTTTTGAACCTCTGTGTTTTGAATTGCAAAATAAGACTAAAATTTTAGAAGGCGTTACCATTGTGAGTCAGTATTTTAAATTTGTGTTTTGAGATTTTTTTAGCTTATGCTCTTTATAGTTTTATTTTACTCTTATATTTTACTAAAACCCCCCAAATTTTGTTCTTGAAGGTTTACCATTGTGAATCATTGTTTTAATGCTTTATTTTATATTTATTTATAAGGATTTAATTTATTTTTACGTTGTTTTAATAGTGCATGTGCTAGTTTATTTGGGTGTTACCATTATTATGGCATTGTTATGCCAAATTACGCATAACTAAAATGCGTTAAATTTAAGCTAAAGTAAAAGTTCATTTGGGTGTTTTAATTTTGAATTAGCATTTTTAAATGCCTTGTAAGAGTATTTAAATCTTTAAGTCTTAAGTAGTGTTTTTAATAGTGCAAGTGCTAGTTTATCAGTATGTTACCAGTGCAAATCAGCATTTTTAAATGCCTTGAGATAGCAATTTAATGCTTTTCTATATTCGGTCTTTAAATCTGTTTAACTAAATCTTTATTTAAAAGGTTTACCAAAGTAAATCAGCACTATCAAATGCTTTTGCATTTTTAATGTTTAGATTTATGATATTTTGTAAGTGCAAGAAGCATTTATTATGCTTAAATTAAAGCCATTCTCATGTTTTTTTTTAAATAAGTATTGTTTTAAATAGTAAAATTTAAAGTTTACCATTGCGAATCAGCATTTTTAAATGCTTTCAAATAGCGTTTCAATTTCTAATTTGTAAATTAGTGGTGTTTAAATTAGTGCACGTGCAAATTTATTTACGATGTATAGTAGGTATACATTGTATACCATTGGTATACATTATATTCCATTGGTATACATTGTGTTTTTAAATGCGTTTATAGCATTTTAAAATGCTTAATTTCTAAATTTACGTCATTTTTAATTATGTTTTTCTATTAAGTAGTGTTCTTATTGGTGAAAGTTAGTTTGTTAGTGTATTACCAGTGAAATTCAGCATTTTAATGCTTAATTGCGTGTCATTTTGAAATTACTTTTTCAGTAAAACTGTTAATTTAAGGTTTACCTTTAAGATGCAGCATTTTAAAATGCTTTAAAATGGTATTGCCTAATTTTAACCATTTTAAATAAATATTTTTAAATAATTAGTGCTAATTCCGTATGGTCAGCATATAGCTATAAAATAGCATTTTAATGCTTAATTGCTCGTTATTTTTAAATGTAGTGTTTAAATAAGTGTTTTTAATGATGTGTTACAATTGTTTATCGGCAATTTTAAATGTTTAATTGCGCTTCATTTTTGAATGCTCACTAATGTGTTTAAATACGTACAAATTTACTATTGTGAATAAGCGTTATCAAATAGTGTTTTAAAAAGTGCTAGTTTATTTGAGTGTTACCATTGCGAATCAGTATTTACGTTACGTATTACGTATTACGTATAAAAAATGGTATGCATTTGTAATGTTTAATAGAGCAAGTACTTATTTTTAGGGTGTTACCATATGGAATCAGCATTTTAAATTGCTTTAAAATACAACTTTAATTTATTTTAAGAATATTTTATTAGTAGTATTTAAATCATTTAAAGGGATTATCCATGTGGATCAGCATTTTCAAATGCTTTTGTATAAATTTTTATGCATATTTTAGTAGTGTTTTAATAGTAAAAGAGACAGTTTATAGCATTTTAATGGTTAATTGCGCGCCATTTTTAAAAGGTTTTATATGTAGTGTTTTGAAAGGTGCAAGTGCTAGTTTATTTGGGTGTTACCATTGCAAATCAGCATTTTTAAATGCTTTTGTATACAAAATTCTATACATATTTTTTCTAATCAATAATATTTAATAGAACAAGTACTAATTTATAGGGTGTTACCATATGGAATCAGCATTTTAAATTGCTTTAAAATACAACTTCAATTTCTTTTAAGAAGGTTTTATTAGTAGTATTTAAATCATTTAAAAGGTTTACCCATGTGAATCAGCTTTTTCAAATGCTTTTGTATAACATTTTTATGCATATTTTATTTAGTAGTGTTTTATTAGTGAAATTGCTAGTTGATTTGGGTTGGTTACCATTGCGAATCAGAATTTTAAAAATTGTAAATATTTTTTTTTAATAAGTAATGTTTAATAGAGCAAGTAGGTACTATTTATAGGGTGTTGCCATATGGAACCAGCATTTTAAATTGCCTTAAAATACAACAATTTCTTTTAAGGTTGTATAGTAGTATTTAAATCATTTAAAGGGTTTACCCATGTGGATCAGCATTTTCAAATGCTTTTGTATAAATTTTTATGCATATTTTAGTAGTGTTTTAATAGTGAAAGTGACAGTTTTTATTTGGGTTTTTCCTGTGCAAATCTTCAAGTAAAAGGTTAAACTAAGTAAATCAGCGTGTTAGATACTTTTGTATATACAAGGTGTACCAAGTATCCTGCGATGTATATTAGCGGTCCTATAAAAAGTAATTTAAAATTTGGAAAAAAAATCAGTGGTTCTCAAATAATTTAAAAAAACATTTTTCTAGTTTATTTAGGTGTTACCAAATTAAATTAGCATTTTAAAATGCGTTAAATTTAATCTAAAGTGAAATTTCATTTGGGTGTTCATTTTGAATCAGCATTTTTAAATGCCTTGAAAGAGTATTTAAATACCTTACTGTTCTTAAGTAGTGTTTTTAATAGTGAAAGTGCATGTTACCAGTGCAAATCAGTATTTTTAATTGCCTTGAGATAGCATTTTAATGCTTATCTATCTTAGGTCTTCAATCTGTTTAACTAAATCTTTATTTAAAAGGTTCACCAAAGTAAATCAGCACTATCAAATGCTTTAGCATTTTTAATGTTTAGAGTTAAGCTATTTTGGATGATTTTTCGTAATAAGTAGTGTTAATTTATTTAAATTACATATTAAGTCACCATTCTGTCCTTGAAAGTGCACAAAGCATTTATTATGCTTTAATTTAAGCCATTCTTATGGGTTTTTTAAAAATAAGTATTATTTTAAATAGTAAAAATTAAAGTTTACCATTGCTGATCAGCATTTTTAAATGTTTTTGTATAAATAATTGTATGCATCTTTTTCTAATAAGTAATGTTTAATAGAGCAAGTACTTATTAGTATTTATAGGGTGTTACCATTTTGAATCAGCATTTTAAATTGCTTTAAAATACAACTTTAATTTCGTTTAAGGTTTTATTAGTAGTATTTAAATCATTTAAAGGGTTTACCCATGTGAATCTTCATTTTCAAATGCTTTTGTATAACATATTTATGCATATTTTATTTAGTAGTATATTAATAGTTAAGTGCTAGTTTATTTGGTTGTAACCATTGAAAATCAGCATTTTTAAATGCTTTTGTTTAAAAAAATTTATGTAAATAAAAGAAACATTATTCTAGTTCATTTAGGTGTTACCAAATTAAATCACCATTTTAAAATGCGTTAAATTTAAGCTTAAGTAAAAGTTCATTTAGGTTTTTTCATTTTGAATCAGCATTTTTAAAAGCCTTGAATTAGTATTTAAATACCTTACTGTTCTTAAGTCCTTAATCCTTAATTAGTGTTTTTAATAGTGCAAGGGCTAGTTTATTAGTATGTTAACAGTGCAAATAAGCATTTTTAAATGCATTGAGATATCATTTTAATCCTTATCTATCTTAGGTCTTTAAATCTGTAACTAAATGTTTATTTAAAAGGTAAATCAGCACTATTAAATGCTTTTGTATGTTTATATGTATGCTATTTTGGATGATTTTTCGTAATAAGTAGTGTTAATTTATTTGGATGTTGTCATATTAAGTCACTATTCTGTCCTTGCAAGTGCACAAAGCATTTATTATGCTTCAATTTAAGCCATTCTTATGGGTTTTAAAAAAAAATAAGTATTGTTTTAAATAGTGAAAATTAAAGTTTACCATTGCAAATCAGCATTTTTAAATGCTTTCAAATAGCGTTTCAATGCCTAATTTGTAAATTAGTGGTGTTTAAATTAGTGCAAGTGCAAATTTATTTAGGATGTATACTATACATCCTAAATAAATTATACATAATTATACATTGTATAGGTACATATACATTGTATACCATTGGTATACATTGTGTTTTTAAATGCGTTTATAGCATTTTCAAGCTTTGATGGATTTTTTACTAGCGGTTTTAATAATGGTAGTGCTATTGCGAACCAGCATTTTAAAATGCTTTAAACTAGCTTTTCCATTCCTAAATTTTTGTCATTTTTAATGATGTTTTTATATTAAGTAGTGTTTTTATTGGTGCAAGTTAGTTTTTTATTGTGATACCGGTGCAAATCAGCATTTTAATTTTAAGCTATTTTAAATGAATGTTTTTAAATAATTAGTGCTAATTCTTTATTGTCAGCATTTTAAATGCCATAAAATAGCATTTTAATGCTTATTGCGCGTCATTTTTAAAAGGGTTTATATGTAGTGTTTTGAAAAGTGCAAGTGCTAGTTTATTTGGGTGTTACCATTGCAAATCAGCATTTTTAAATGCTTTTGTATACAAAATTCTATACATATTTTTTCTAATCAGTAATATATAATAGAACAAGTACTAATTTAAAGGGTGTTACCATATGGAATCAGCATTTTAAATTGCTTTAAAATACAACTTTAATTTATTTTAAGAAGGTTTTATTAGTGCTATTTAAATCAGTTAAAGAGTTTACCCATGCGAATCAGCATTTTTAAATGCTTTTGTATAATGTACATTTATATGCATATTTTATTTAGTAGTTTATTTGGGTGTTACCATTTAAAATCGTCATTTTTAAATGCTTTTGTATAAAAAAATTCTAATAAGTAATGTTTAATTGAGCAAGTACTTATTTATAGGGTGTTACCATATGGAATCAGCATTTTAAATTGTTTTAAATACAACTTTAATTTATTTTAAGGTTTTATTAGTAGTATTTAAATCCTTTAAAGGGTTTACCCATGTGAATCAGCATTTTCAAATGCTTTTATATACATTTTTATGCATATTTTAGTAGTGTTTTAATAGTGAAAGTGCCAGTTTATTTGGATTTTACATGTGCAAATCCTCAAGTAGCATTTCATTTAGAAGGTTAAACAAAGTAAATCAGCGTGTTAGATGCTTTTTTATATACAAGGTGCATCAAGTATCCTGCAATGTAAGTTAGATAGAAAGTTGCCTAAAAAATTGAAAACCTGTAAAAACCAAAAATCGTTATAACATCGCCTACTAAATTTTGAGTTACAACCCCCATATTTTTTTCTTCCTATTGGAATTTTACAAGGTTAGATAGGAAAATGTAGATTAAGGTAATTTTGATTTTGATTTTTTCATATTACTAATAATACCTAAACATATTAAATAGGAAATATTATTAGTTTTATACTAAAATTCACCAAGGGATGATTGATGAATTTAGTTGTTACTCTTGTTCGAAAAATAAACCCGTATATTGTATATAAATTTACTTTTTATTTTATTTAATTTAATACTATATGTCTCCATACAAAAAAATAATACAAACAATCTTTTTTCAGTAAAACATTACCCAGACCAGAACAAGGCATCAAAAAGCATGGACGTAAACCAACCAATAAAAACCAAACAAAAATAAAAACTTACCTCTGTGCTTACTGCAAATATATAACTGTAAAACATCATAATCTACAAAAGCATATCTTTTACAAACACAAAGAACAAAATGAGCTAGAAAAAAAAGTAGAAATAAAAATAAAAACTTACCATTGTGACTACTGTGACTACATAACAGTGGAAAACCCGAAGCTAAAACACCACGTGTATAACAAACACAAAGAAGAGAATGCGTTGGAAAAAAAAGTTGCAATAAAATTAAAAACTTATTCCTGTGTGTACTGTGACTATACATCAGTGGAAAACCACAAACTTCAAATACACATCTACAACAAACATAAAGAGCAAAATGAGCTGGAAAAAAAAGTGGAGATAAAAATAAAAACCTACTCTTGTATGTACTGTACACTTACCACAACTGAAAACATCACACTGCAAAGGCACATCTATAGAAAACATTACGTGGAGTTGGAAAACAAGGATAAAAAGGCATTAACTCACTCTTGCGTGTACTGTGACTATACAACTTTGGCTAGACGCAATCTACTAAACCACATTTATAAAAAACACAAGGAACAAAACGATTTGGAAAATAAAGTGACACTGAAGATTTTCTCTTGTTTCTACTGTAAGTTTACATCAGCGGAAAACAAAAGGGTGCAGAAGCATATGTATAGCAAACATCAAGGACAATACGAGTCGGAACATAAAGTAAAATTGAAAGTAAGGACTTACTCTTGCATGTTCTGCGACTTCACAACTGTGGAACATAAAAGTTTGCAAAACCACACGTACAACAAACATGTAAAAAAGAAAATTAGTAAGAAAATATGTATAGTGTAGGGTTTAAGAATTGCATCACCATTGTTTCCATTATTTTTCTTTATAAGAGATATGTAGTCTTATTATTATATTAAGGGTGGTGCAAAAGTCTCACAATTTCCATGTTATACGCAAGCGTAAATTCTGTCAAAAAAGTATCGAGAATATGTCATCCAAATATCTTTTTAACAGAATGTATGTCTTTCCATTTTCCTTGTAAAATTTTTTCTGTTTTTAATATTTTCATATTTTTAATATACCAATATACCTTGTAAATTTTAAACACAATAAATGCAAATAAAACTGTCTAATTTCTTTTCTTTTTTTTTATTTAATATTAATAGTAAAATGTAAACTAAGACCAAGTTACTCAAACTTTGAGTCTCAAAGTTCTTTCATGACCATTGAATTTCATTAAATTTTAATACCATTTAAGCATTTTTTCGTGCTTTACGATAAAAATATTAAAATCCACATTTTTACGATTTTCTGGTGGTATTATTTAAACCGTAATTTACGGAAAAAAATAGTATAAGAATCAATATTCATCGATTAAAATTGATAACATTTGATTGGTGTTTAAATTTTAAAAAAATCAACGGTCAGAAGAAAAGTTCAAATTTAAGCCCCAGCAACTCGGCAACCAGGAATACTTACCTTACCTTTTACACAGAGAATACTTACCTTACCTTTTACACAGAGAATGTCGTTGGATAGTCCAAGGATTATACGTTTTCTAGGTAAGAATGTTTTTTCTTAGGACCAAAATTATCAACTAAACCACATAAGATAAAGATCAAAAGTTAAATAAAATACAAATGAGAATATAAGAACTTACTCTTGTGTGTACTGTGACTACATACCACTTAAAATGGAAGCATAAGAAAGAAATTAAGAAAAAATTAGCAATAAAATTAAAAACTCACTTTTGCTTGACTTTCTGTGAAGTCGTAAAAAACTATAAACTCTTGCGTGTACTGTGACTACAAAACATATAAAAAAAAAAATTTTAAGTTGCAAAGTATTACTATTAGGGGTCCTACATACAAATTCTTGTAGTTTAATTTGCGAATAATTTTTTTAAATGTTTTTAACAGTATTGGCTGCCCAGTGGGTAACCCAAACATAGTTTATAATAATTTATTAAACTGAAGAAATAAGTATAATAACTAGTTTTGTTTATTTTAGTCAAAACTCACACATGAACATAAACTATCTAATAAAAACCAATTAAAAATAAAAACTTTCTTTTGCGTTTACTGTAAATATACAATAAGGAAAAACCGAAATTTACAGATGCATATTTATATCAAACATAAAGAACAAAATGAGTTGGAAAATAAAGTGACAATAAAAATAAAAACTTACCCTTGTATGTACTGTGACTTCACAACAGTGGAAAATCAAAGGTTGCAAAACCATCTTTATAGTAAACACAAATAACAAAATGAGTCAGAAAATAAAGTAGCAATAAAACCACAACCTTGTGTGTACTGTGACTTTACAACAGTGGTAGAGCGGTTGTTAGATAACCACATTTATACAAAACACAAAAAACAATATAGTTTAGAAAATCAAGTAGAAATAAAAGTAAAAATATACTCTTGTGTACTGTGACTTCACGACAAGGGAAAATGCTATTACACCACATCTATAGCAAACATATTTGCTTTTACTAATACTAATGGGTCTAAGACCAATAAATACTACGCATACAATGCTGAGGTAGGCCGCATAAAAAGAGATTTGGATATTTTATATGTTTTAAGTAGTTGTGATGGTAATTATAAAAAATTGTATAACTTAAAGAAAAAAGAGTATAATTCTGCGTTAATAACATCTCGCAAAATGTATTATTCAAATCAAATATTGACTTCTGAAAATAAAAGCAGAACAGTTTGGAAAGTTATAGACAATATTAAAGGTGGCAATAAAACATGTACTATAAACGTTAAGGGTAATCCTACTCAGGTAGCAAATGATTTCAACTATTTTTATGTAAACAATGTATGTGATATTGTAAAGAAAATACCTGATGTTAATTTTAAGCAAAATTTTTACAACAACAGATCCATGTTTTTAGAACCAGTAAGTCCTAACGAGGTATTTAATATTATAAATAGTTTAAAAAATAAGTCAAGTGCTGGCAATGATGATGTACCAGTTTCACTAGTTAAATACTGTAGCTTAGAACTTGTAAATCCATTGTCATACATTATAAATAATTCATTAACATCTGGATGCTTCCCTTCAAAACTGAAAGAAGCAATTGTAATTCCATTATATAAGAAAGGAGACAAAACAGTGCTAGCAAATTACAGACCCATAAGTTTATTACCAGCTTTTTCCAAGGTTTTCGAGATGACCATGAGTTCGCGTATCATACAGTTTTTTAATAAGTGTAACATTTTCAGTAACAGTCAACATGGATATAGAAAAGGAAGGTCCGTTGAAACCGCGTTGTATGACTACCTGCAGGATATTTATGACAGTTTTGAGAATAAAGACATCACTACCGGGATATTCCTAGATCTAACAAAGGCATTCGATTGTTTGGACTATGATATTCTATTTGAGAAGCTGGATGGATATGGTGTACGTGGTTGTCCAGCGCGGTGGATCAGATCTTACCTAACTGGTCGCATGCAGAGAGTTGTAATTCATCAAAACAGTACTAAATATGTATCTGATATACTAAATATTCAATTAGGTATACCTCAGGGTAGTGTACTCGGGCCATTATTATTCATAATTTATATTAATGACATGGGAATTGTTACAACTTCAAAGAATATAAATTTAATTAATTTTGCCGACGACTCGAACTTCGTGGTCAGATCCAAAAACTTGGTGCAAGCAACAGCAACTATCGCGAACTTGTATGATGAAATCTTACTCTATATGGGTTCCAATAAGCTAGTACTAAACGAAAATAAAACAAATTTTGTCCTCTTCAAGACAATGAGATCAAATGTCTATACACCACCACATATTGTATTGAATAATAAAGAAATTGAGTATTCGTCAAGTGTCAAATTGCTTGGTATTATAATTGACGAATATTTAAATTGGGATATGCATATCGAAAACTTAGTGTCAAGATTAAATGGAGTATGTTATGCAATGCGAATACTTAAAAATTATGTCAATGTGGATACTATGAAAACGGTATATTTTGCAAACTTCCAAAGTCTCTTAAGATATGGTTTGATATTCTGGGGCCAAGGACGTAACACAGTATCTGTTTTCAGGGTTCAAAAAAGATTGATACGCATCATATGCAACTTAAAATCATCAGAATCTTGCAGAACACACTTCAAAAGCAACCATGTCCTGACACTGGTTGGTTTATATATATATGAATTAGTTTTGTTTTTGGTAAAAAATTATAACAAATTTGAATCACTTCAAACTGTTTCACATAGAAACTTAAACTTAAATTTTCCTAGGCATAAATTAACAAAGTATGAGAAAAGCTGCCATTATGCAGCCATTAAATATTATAATAAAATACCTCATCATATAAAATCTTCAAAAACCTTAAAAATCTTCAAAAATGAACTTTTCAACTATATTTGTACCAAAGAGCCCTATACGTTAGCAGAGTTTTAAGTAACTATATTGTATTATTATTCTTACACTTGTGGTATATTCCATTTTATTATTTATGTTTGACTTTTTCTACATACTGTTGTTATACATATATATATATATATTGTTATCTTTGTATGTACAACACTATATTAGAATAAATAAATTATTATTATTATTATTATTATTTTCTTGCGTGTACTGTGACTTAACAACAAGAAATTATCAAGTGTTACAAAACCACATCTATATAAAACATAAAGAACAAAATAAAGTGAAAAAAAGTAGCAATTCAAATACAAACTTACTCTTGTGTACTGTGACCTTAAAACAGTAAATGAGTTAGAAGGGAAGGCAAACTTTAATTTACAAACATAAATAACAAAATGAGTTGGAAAATAGTGTAGAAATAAAAACTAAAACTTGTGTGTACTGTGACTTTACAACAGTAAAGACCCGTAATTTGCAAAGTGACATTTTTTTCGACATTAAATACACGGTGCTGTTCTGAGAGGTGATTTTTGGACTTTCTGTGAAACCTAATTTTTTTTTATATTCTTGGTAATTAGGTCATAACTAAAATTTTAAGAGCAAAATAAAAAAAATTTGACGGTCTGAATTGTTTTAATTGGCTGTTTATTAAAAATATTATCCAATTAAAACTAGCGATTTAATTTAAATATTTAATATTTGCATAACTAAAAAAAAGGTTTTTACAATTTTTTTTTTATATATTTTACTGTTTTGTTGCAATAAACGTTCAAACTTTTAATCTAACCTTTGACGTATACATTTATGTTCCCTTAATTAATATATCCTTAAAGGTTTCCATGAAACTTAGATCTATTAAAAATTTATTTAACGTTTGAATTGTCATTTTCAGTATACGTATTCTATAATTTTTGTTTAGTTTTTTAAAGTGTTTTTTATAAACAAAAATGAAAAATTGTAGTAAAAGTTACGAAGAAATTCATGAAATTTAACCAAGGACCGCGGTCGACCGGTTTATTCATCTTTAGTAAAGTTTATCGGGCCGATAACTTTCATGTCTTGGCAATATCTAGTATCCAAAGAAATTATTCGTCAAATAAATCAAAAATGAATAAATCGGCCCTAAATAAAATGTGGCACCCTTAGAATTATTGTTTAATAAATGTATACTATACATTTAACTTTAAATTAAAACTTTAAACGTGTATTACAACAAAACAGTAAAAGATATAAAAAATGTATAGACCTTTTTTTAGGAAATTAACTAATCTTTAATCTGATTTAAAAAGTTATGATAATATTTAAATAAAATCGCAAGTTTTAATTGGAGAATTGAAAGTGTGCATACATATTAAAACAAAATTAACCGTCATATTTATTTATTTTGCTCTTAAAATTTTAGTTATGACCTAATTAACAAGAATATAAAAAAAATTAGGTTTCACAGAAAGTCCAAAAATCACCTCTCAGAACAGCACCGTGAATATGAATTCTACTTAAAAATTTTATTGTACTTTTACAGTTTTATTTTCTATCCTTTATTTAAATAATTATTTGTAGCGAGGGCGCCTATTTATATAAATATATTTATATAAATAAATCCATGTTATAGTACATAAGAAAAAAATGTTTTTTTGTTTAAAACTAACATTTAATTTTGTTTCAGTGATACATTAATTACATGTGGATTCAGCGAGTGTTTTTTCTCAGGACCAGAATACGAAGTAACTCAACACATGATCAAAGACCATAAACAAAAACCAACTACTAAAAAGCTATCTTGCATGTACTGTGACTACGCTGCAAGAAATAATCGAAGCTTGCAAACTCACGTATACAGAAAACATAAAGAACAAAATGAGTTAGAAAAAAAAGTACGACTAATAATAAAAACTCTCTCTTGCGTGTACTGTGACTTTTCAACTGTGAGAACCCATGATTTACACATGCACATCTTTAGAAAACATAAAGAACAAAATGAGTTGGAAAAAAAAGTTGAAATACAATTTAAAACTTATTCTTGTGTGTACTGTGACTTTAAAACAGTAATAAGGGTGTTGTTACAAAACCATATCTTCCACAAACATAAGGAACAAAATAAGTTAGAAGGGAAGGTAATAATAAAAACAAAAACTTTCACCTGTTTGTACTGTGACTTTACGACAAAGGCAAACTTTACTTTACAAAACCACATCCATACGAAACATAAAGAACAAAATGACTTGGAAAATAAAGTAGAAATAAAATTAAAAAGTTGTGTGTACTGTGACTTTACAACAGTAAAGACAGATAATTTACAACTGCACATATATAAAAAACACAAAGAACAACATGAGTTGGAAAATAAAGTGTCAGTAGAAATAAAAATTTACTCTTGTACGCATTGTAAATTCACAACAACTCTTAAAGCAAACTTAAGAAAGCACATGTTTAGAAAACATAAAGAACATATCCAGACTAAAAATATTTTAAATAATTATATAAAAAAATGGCCCGGTATATAATACAATACAATTATATAGAACTATATAATTAAGTATCGCTAGTAGCGCCACCACTCGGCTGTTATCATCGTAACAAAAGTACAACTTTTAATAATCAGCTGTCAAACGCTTATGTTACAAACGAGTGTTTTTGAGAATAAAGTCGGAAAGTCTCCACTCCACAACGGTAAAATACCATTATATTATGTATTATATATGATATTATGTTGCCATGAATTCATAGGTATATTTTGTTGTTTAAAATGCAGTTGTCAGCGTTTTTTAGAGAACTCAAATATAAAAATGATTGATTTTAAGGTTATGTTTGTGCAAAAATTATATTTTACTAATTTCTTAAAAATGTCCAAACTTAATATAAATTATATTAGGTAAAGTTATCATTAGTTAATTCTGCACCAACAAATGTACTTGCCGAATATGATCCTTTGGCAAAACATGAAAATCGAACGATTTAGTTCTTGAATTTGATTTAGCATTAAAAAAAATAATATAAATAATAATTTTTAATATACATATAATTTTTACTCCTTATGTTAGCTGTATTAAATACATTTTTTGTTTAACAAATAATTGTTTTATTTTTAAATATTAATACTTAACTTAATCGCGATCTGTACAATAATAATTTATTAAAATGATTATAATCAATCAATTAAAATAAAAAATAAAATGTTTAATGAAGTATACAAAATAAATAAACCTATTAGGTTGTTGTTAGAATTTCTCTATATTTAAGCTTGATTTGTGTAATTTAATATTTTTTACCATATAAATTTTAAACAAACTTGTGGAGCTAGGGTGCAAACACCTATGAATCTATTTTTAATAAGTAAATAAAGCTTTATTATTTCTATATATAAGTTTTTTATTTTTATATCCTATTTAAATGATTATTTGTAATTATAATACAGTATAATTTTCTGTTAATTAAATAATAATTTTATATTAAACAAAAGAAAATATTTTCTTATTTAAAATTTAAAACTAAATTTGTTTCAGTAAAACATCAATTGTACTGTGACTATTCAACAGTGAGAACCCATGATTTATAAATGCACATTTTTACAAAACATAAAGAACAAAATGAGTTGGGAAAAAAGTAGCAACACAAATACAAACTTATTGTGTACTGTGACTTAAACGTGTGACTTGAAGCTAATACAATTTAATTGTACTTTTACAGTTTTATTATTTAGTTTTCAATCCTTAATTTTAAAAATACATGCATGTTATGTTACATATAAAAAATATATTTTTTGTTTAAAACTAACATTTAATTTTGTTTTGGTAATATTACATCAGTCATTTGTGGGTACAGCGAATGTTTTTTCTCAGGACCAGAATACGAAGTATCTCAACACATGATCAATGACCATAAACAAAAACTATTTAATAAAAATCAATATACAACCTACTCTTATAATATATTATGTACTGTGACTTTTCAACAGTGGAAAACCATAATTTACTAAAACACATCTATAGTAAACACAAAGAACAAAATGATACAAAAAATATTAAAATAAAAAGTTACTTTTGCGTGTACTGTGACTATTCAACATTGAGAACCCATGATTTACAAATGCACATATTTAGAAAACATAAAAAACAAAATGAATAGGAAAAAAAAGTAGCAATACAAATACAAACCTATTCTTGTGTGTACTGTGACTTTAAAACAGTAAAAAGCGGGTTGTTACAAAACCACATTTACAGCAAACATAAAGAACAAAATGAGTTAGAAGGGAAGGTTATAATAAAAATAAAAACTTACACCTGTTTGTACTGTGACTTTACAACAAAGGGACACTCATATTTACAGTACCACATCTATAGCAAACATAAGAAACAAAATGAGTTAGAAAATAAAGTAGAAATAAAAACAAAAACTTACACCTGTTTGTACTGTGACTTTACAACGGTAAAGATTTAATATAAATAATATACTTTTTAAAATATATTGATCTTAATTCCTTACCAATATGTATTAAATAAATTTTTTGTTTGACAACAAAACAATTTAAAATTCTACTTTCGCCTCTTTATCAAAAATAAATCTTAACACTTCCATATTTTTAACTTCTTTTGCATTAAATTAAATTTATATTATTAGTTGAGGATTTTTATTTCAAAAATTTGTAAATTTAAGCCGTGGATTATTTTAAATAATTATATTCAATTTAATATATTAATTAATTATATATATATATATACCTGTGGAATTTTCTTGTAGAATATTTAACTAAACTGTACAATGCATGAACTGAAAAAAAAACCAAATTATTAATTTGAGGGACAAGTCATTAAAATTTTTATTTGTTTATTTAAAAGTTAATTAAAAATATGATACTAAACAAATAATTTATAATTTTGACTTGTTTTTCAAAATGTGAATATTAAACAATAAATCCTGAAAATTTTATTAAAATAACAAGGTTTTTCTGTCATCTATTTTTTAATTAAAAGTCTCCAAAATTTTCATTGTAAAAAAATTGTTGCTAAAATGAAAATTTAAAAAAACTGTTTTTGAGTTTTATTATTAATGGGGACTGCTTTATATTAAAACATACAAATGTTTTGTTTAAAACTAACATTTTATTTTGTTTCAGTAACCACACATCAGTCATTTGTGGAACAAAACAAACAGAAAAAAATGATTGGGGAAGGAAAGTAAAACTGAAAACTTACTCCTGTGTTTACTGTGCCTTTTCAACACTGGAAAACCGTACTTTACAAAGACACATCTATAGTAAACACAAAGAACAAAATGAGTTAGAAAATAAGGTGGCAATAACGATTAAAACTTACTCTTGTGTGTACTGTGACTTTTCAACAGTGGATAAACGTAATTTACAAAAACACATCTTTAGAAAACATAAAGAACAAAACGAGTTAGAAAATAAGGTGGCAATAAATATTAAAACTTTCTCTTGTGTGTACTGTGACTTTACAACAGTAGGGACGCGGATCTTACATAACCATATCTACAGAAAACATAAAAAACAAAACGACTTGGAAAATAAAGTGAATATAAAATTAAAAAAATACTGTTGTATGTACTGTGACTACAAAACAGTGATATGGCAGTTATTACAAAACCACATCTACAGTAAACACAAAGAACAAAATGAGTTGGAGAAGAAAGTGGAAATAAACATTAAAACTTTTCCTTGCGTGTACTGTGACTTTACAACGGTAGGAAAGCGGTTGTTAGATTTCCACATCTATACCAAACATAAAGAACAAAATGAGCTGGAAAAGAAAGTCGACTTAAAAATAAACTCTTGTGTGTACTGTGACTATACAACATTGAATACCTGTAATTTCAAAAGACACGTTTATAACATACACAAAGAACAAAATGAATTGGAAAATATGTATAAGTGACAATAAACACAAAAATTTACTCCTGCATGCATTGTGAATTCACCACAACTTTAGGCCAAACATTACAAAGGCACATCTATAGAAGACATAAAAAACAATATGGGTTTAAAAATGGTAAAATGAAATGAAAATAAATTTTTGTTTTTTATACCCCAAATAAAATGATTTTCCGAAAACTCGAAGCTATTTTTACATAAAAATTAATAAAATTAGTTTTAGACTATTTAGCAATAAAGTTGTGGCTTAGGAAATTTCCGATTGTGCCTTTTTTTAAACACAAATAAAATATTATTGTCCTTTTAGCGTTTTTTTTTATTTGAAGCAAAGGCGCTTAATAAACATTATAGCAGAGAGTAGTTTTGTTTTAATAGTACTAACAACTAATTTTGTTTTAGTAAAACATCAATCCTATGTGGGTACAACAAATGTTTTTTCTCAGGACCAGAATACGAAGTAACTCAACACATGATCAACGACCATACACAAAAACTAACTAATAAAAATCAATTGTTAAATAAAGTAAAACTGCAAATAAAAACTTACTGTTGTGTGTACTGTGACTATTCAACAGTGAGAAACAATGATTTACAAATGCACATCTTTAGAAAACATAGAGAACAAAATGAGTTGGAAAAGAAAGTTAAACTACAAATAAAAACTTTCTATTGTGTGTACTGTAACTATTCAACAGTGAGAACCAAAACTTTACAAATGCACATCTTTAGGAAACATAAAGAACAAAATAAGTTGGAAAATAAAGTAGAACTGCAAATAAAAACTTGCTGTTGTGTGTACTGTGACTATTCAACAGTAAGAAGCAATGATTTAGAAATGCACATCTTAAGAAAACATAAAGAACAAAATGAGCTAGAAAAAAAAGTAGAAATAAAAATAAAAACTTACCATTGTGACTACTGTGACTACATAACAGTGGAAAACCCGAAGTTAAAACACCACGTGTATAACAAACATAAAGAAGAGAATGCGTTGAAAAAAAAAGTTGCAATAAAATTAAAAACTTATTCCTGTGTGTACTGTGACTATACATCAGTGGAAAACCATAAACTTCAAATACACATCTACAACAAACATAAAGAGCAAAATGAGCTGGAAAAAAAAGTGGAGATAAAAATAAAAACCTACTCTTGTATGTACTGTACACTTACCACAACTGAAAACATCACACTGCAAAGGCACATCTATAGAAAACATTACGTGGAGTTGGAAAACAAGGATAAAAAGGCATTAACTCACTCTTGCGTGTACTGTGACTATACAACTTTGGCTAGACGCAATCTACTGAACCACATTTATAAAAAACATAAGGAACAAAACGATTTGGAAAATAAAGTGACACTGAAGATTTTCTCTTGTTTCTACTGTAAGTTTACATCAGCGGAAAACAAAAGGGTGCAGAAGCATATGTATAGCAAACATCAAGGACAATACGAGTCGGAACATAAAGTAAAATTGAAAGTAAGGACTTACTCTTGCATGTTCTGCGACTTCACAACTGTGGAACATAAAAGTTTGCAAAACCACAAGTACACAAAACATGTAAAAAAGAAAATTAGTAAGAAAATATGTATAGTGTAGGGTTTAAGAATTGCATCACCTTTGTTTCCATTATTTTTCTTTATAAGAGATATGTAGTCTTATTATTATATTAAGGGTGGTGCAAAAGTCTCACAATTTCCATGTTATACGCAAGCGTAAATTCTGTCAAAAAAGTATCGAGAATATGTCATCTAAATATCTAAATAAACAGAATGTACGTCTTTCCATTTTCCTTGTAAAAATTTTTCTATTTTTAATATTTTCATATTTTTAATATACCAATATACCTTGTTAATTTTAAACACAATTAATGCAAATAAAACTGTCTAATTTCTTTTCTTTTTTTTATTTAATTTTAATAGTAAAATGTAAACTAAGACCAAGTTACTGAAACTTCTTTCATGACCATTGAATTTCATTAAATTTTAATACCATTTAAGCATTTTTTCGTGCTTTACGATAAAAATATTAAAATCCACATTTTTACGATTTTCTGGTTGTATTATTTAAACCGTAATTTACGGAAAAAATGGTATAAGAATCAATATTCATCGATTAAAATTGATAACATTTGATTGGTGTTTAAATTTTAAAAAATCAACGGTCAGAAGAAAAGTTCAAATTTAAGCCCCTGTAACTCAGCAACCACTCATACTTACCTTACCTTTTAGACAGAGAATGTAGTTGGATAGTCCAAAATTATCAACTAAACCACATAAGATAAAGATCAATTTTAAGTTAAATAAAATACAAATGAGAATATAAGAACTTACTCTAGTGTGTACTGTGACTACATACTACTTAAAATGGAAGCATAAGAAAGAAATTAAGAAAAAATTAGCAATAAAATTAAAAACTCACTTTTGCTTGACTTTCTGTGAAGTCGTAAAAAACTATAAACTCTTGCGTGCACTGTAACTACAAAACATATTAAAAAAAATTTTTTAAGTTGCAAAGTATTACTATTAGGGGTCCTACATACAAATTCTTGTAGTTTAATTTGCGAATAATTTTTTTAAATGTTTTTAACAGTATTGGCTGCCCAGTGGGTAACCCAAACATAGTTTATAATAATTTATTAAACTGAAGAAATAAGTATAATAACTAGTTTTGTTTAAATTAGTCAAAACTCACACATGAACATTAACTATCTAATAAAAACCAATTAAAAATAAAAACTTTCTTTTGCGTTTACTGTAAATATACAACAAGGAAAACCCGAAATTTACAGATGCATATTTATATCAAACATAAAGAACAAAATGAGTTGGAAAATAAAGTGGCAATAAAAATAAAAACTCACCCTTGTATGTACTGTGACTTCACAACAGTGGAAAATCAAAGGTTGCAAAACCACATTTATAGAAAACACAAACAACAAAATGAGTCAGAAAATAAAGTAGAAATAAAAGTAAAAATATACTCTTGTGTACTGTGACTTCACAACAAGGGAAAATGCTACTACCCCACATCTATAGCAAACATATTTGTTTTTACTAATACTAATAAATAAGTAACGCATTTTTCTTGCGTGTACTGTGACTTAACAACAAGAAATTATCAAGTGTTACAAAACCACATCTATATAAAACATAAAGAACAAAATGAGGTGAAAAAAAAGTAGCAATTCAAATACAAACTTACTCTGTGTACTGTGACTTTAAAACAGTAAATGAGTTAGAAGGAAAGGTAATAATGAAAATAAAAACTGTACACCTGTTTGTACTGTGACTTTACAACAAAGGCAAACTTTAATTTACAAACATAAATAACAAAATGAGTTGGAAAATAGTGTAGAAATAAAAACTAAAACTTGTGTGTACTGTGACTTTACAACAGTAAAGACCCGTAATTTGCAAAGTGACATTTGTTTCGACATAAAATATGAATTCAACCTTAAAAGTTTTAATTTCACTTGAAGCTAATACAATTTTATTGTACTTTTACAGTTTTATTTTCTATCCTTTATTTAAATAATTATTTGTAGCGAGTGCGCCTATTTATCTTAAAATACATGCATGTACATAAAAAAATGCTTTTTGTCTAAAACTAAGATTTAATTTTGTTTCAGTGATACATTAATTACATGTGGATTCAGCGAGTGTTTTTTCTCAGGACCAGAATACGAAGTAACTCAACACATGATCAACGACCATAAACAAAAACCAACTACTAAAAAGCTATCTTGCATGTACTGTGACTACGCTGCAAGAAACAATCGAAGCTTGCAAACTCACGTATATAGAAAACATAAAGAACAAAACGAGTTAGAAAAAAAAGTACGACTAATAATAAAAACTCTCTCTTGCGTGTACTGTGACTTTTCAACTGTGAGAACCCATGATTTACACATGCACATCTTTAGAAAACATAAAGAACAAAATGAGTTGGAAAAAAAAGTTGAAATACAATTTAAAACTTATTCTTGTGTGTACTGTGACTTTAAAACACTAATAAGGGGGTTGTTGCAAAACCATATCTTTCACAAACATAAGGAACAAAATAAGTTAGAAGGGAAGGTAATAATAAAAACAAAAACTTTTACCTGTTTGTACTGTGACTTTACAACAAAGGCAAACTTTACTTTACAAAACCACATCTATACGAAACATAAAGAACAAAATGACTTGGAAAATAAAGTAGAAATAAAATTAAAAAGTTGTGTGTACTGTGACTTTACAACAGTAAAGAAAGATAATTTACAATTGCACATATATAAAAATCACAAAGAACAACATGAGTTGGAAAATAAAGTGTCAGTAGAAATAAAAATTTACTCTTGTACGCATTGTGAATTCACATCAACCTCTAAAGCAACATTAAAAAAGCACATGTTTAGAAAACATAAAGAACATATCCAGACTAAAAATATTTTAAATATTTATATAAAAAAATGGCCAGGTATATAATACAATACAAATATATAGAACTATATATAATTAAGTATCGCTAGTAGCGCCACCACTCGGCTGTTATCATCGTAACAAAAGTACAACTTTAAATAATCAGCTGTCAAACGCTTATGTTACAAACGAGTGTTTTTGAGAATAAAGTAGGAAAATGTTAAAAATATCGGAAAAAAACCGTGGCTCGATTTGTTGTGTTGTTGGGTGTATTTCGAGAGAAAATCCTGGGTTGAGTTTTTACCGGTTTTCCAATAAACAGTGTTAATCTGAATGAAGAAATAAATTGCATAGTCTCTGTAAATATAAATTGTACCTATTAGATACAATAAATACACATTTTAGTAATGATTAACGTGAAAAGTGTAAACATTTCAATTCAGTAAAAATCGTCAAACAAATAAGTTATCTAAATTTAAGCAGCATTTAGCATTATTAAAAGCGTTGATTAAGAAAGTCTCCACTCAACGGTAAAATACCATTATATTATGTATTATATAATATTATGTTGCCATGAATTCGTAGGTATATTTTGTTGTTTAAAATGCAGTTGTCGGCGTTTTTTAGAGAACTCAAATATAAAAATGGTTGATTTTAAGATTATGTGTGCAAAAATAATTTTTTACTAATTTCTTAAAAATGTCCAAACTTAAATGTAAATTATGTTAGGTAAAGTTATCATTAGTTAATTCTGCACCAACAAATGTACTTACCGAATTGGATCCTTTTACAAAACATGAAAATGCAACGATTTAGTTCTTGGATTTTATTTACAATTAAAAACACAATAATTTACAATGATCCCTTAGATAAAATACACACACTAACGTAACTATATAAGCATTTAAGCGTTGAGTTTCTTAATCAATGATATAAGGAATAATCAATCGAAATCGAGTAGGTACTAAAAAGTTTTTTAATTTTTTACTCGCAACGTAAAACACAAATAACGTGCGCGATTGTGCAATTGAACAAAATTTGTCGAGTAAGACTTCTGCCTTCCTCTCTTTTGTAAAAAACTGCCTATTTATTTAAAAATGATGTATAATCTGTGCTTTAAATGTTTTGTTGACAATTCTTAAATTCACACAATGCATTCGAAGTCCACCAGATGGTGCGCGCGTTGCGAAAACCCGATACTTCCCTGGTTTTGTCAAAAAATTATGAAAGACGTCTTATTAGATATCTTTAAACCATCCCTAAAAGACATAATTAAGATAAAAAAGACGTCTTTAAGATATCATGTGCTGTCTGGGACAATGATGTGCAAAATATTTGTGACCTTGTAATAGTAGGGATCTCTAGTTCGAACTACATTTGTAAGAGACTAAAAAAAATTAAGAAATGTTTTGTAGATTTAATATAAATAATAATTTTTAATATACATATAATTTTGTACTCCTTGTACAAGCTGTATTAAATACATTTTTTGTTTAACAAATAATTGTTTTATATTTAAATATTAAGACTTAACTTAATCGCGATCTGTACAATAATAATTTATTAAAATAATTATAATCAATTAATTAAAATAAAAAATTAAACTATGGGAGTACTCCACAAAATAAATAAACCTATTAGGTTTTTGTTGGAAATTCTCTATTTTTAAGTTTGATTTGTGTAATTTAATATTTATATATTTTTGTGCAAACACCGATAAATATATTTTTAATAAGTAAATAAAGCTTTATTATTGCCCTTTTATTTTTCTATATATAAGTTTTTTATTTTTATATCCTATTTAAATTATAATTATACTACAGTATAATTTTCTGTTAATTAACTAATAATTTTATATTGATATACAAAAGAAATTATTATCTTATTTAAAATTTAAAACTAAACAGTAAAACATTAATTGTACTGTGACTATTCAACAGTTAGAACCCATGATTTGCAAATGCACATATTTACAAAACATAAAGAACAAAATGAGTTGGGAAAAAAGTAGCAACACAAATACAAACTTATTCTTGTGTGTACTGTGACTTAAACGTGTGACTTGAAGCTAATACAATTTAATTGTACTTATACAGCTTTATTTTGTAGTTTTCTATCCTTACTTTAAAAATACATGCATGTTATGGTACATATAAAAAAATATATTTTTTTG